TGTAGGTGATGGTGCTCATTCCAATCTTATCTAGATGCCCACACCCCACCCCCACCCACACCCCCACACCCACAGCCCACCCACACTCACACCCTCCGAATGTACAGTATATGATGACTCAAGGGTACTCCCAATATACAGTATATGATGACCCAAAGGTAGTCCCAATATATTATAGCTGATGATTACTTACGGATGCACTCGTTTCATAGTGCATGAAAAGTTATGGGTGCTTAAATGTTTATTCATTTTTATCAATTTTTAAGAAAAATTTTGTTTTATAGGAAAAGGTTTACTTTAACTTTAAATTTTTTAAAGTTAAAGTTTAAAGTATGGTCACTTTAACTTTAACTTTAAAGTACTGTACTTTAACTTTAACTTTTAAAGTTTAAAGTCGTACTTTAAACTTTAACTTTAAAGTAAAGTTAAAGTGCCACCCCTAACCCACATCCACCCCCTCTTCTGGTATATTTTGTTTTTTTGAATAGGTGACATCCAAAGCAACAATGATCGAAGAATAAAAATGTGCTGTAAAAAAAATTCGAAAAAATATTGTCTTTGAAAGTTGTGCTTCTTAGACCAATGGATTGTATCGCATGTCACAAAATAACGGAGCTTATCTAAGATAACAAAAACATATACGTTTTGTAGAGAATTTCACGAAGAATCTTTTGCTAAAAAGAATTTTTCTTAAACACTGAAATATGAGTGAAATATATGGAAAATACCGAGAGGCTCATTTATTCTGACACACCCGTTATATTATCGTTTACTTCGAAGATTATCAAATAGAGAAAAACTCTTCACTTATATCTACTTGCTAAAATATTCATTTTTACAATTCGAGAGTTTTTTTTAAAAAAAAATACGAGATTCTATCTTAAAATAAAATGAAGATTTGATTTCATCGATAGATATTCAATATAGATAAGTTCTATGATAATTCTATATTAACTCGAATGATTTCGGACTATAATTATTCAATCGATTGAGAATAATTGATATATATTTTATAAAAAAAACAAAATATTGATAAATGATTTTAATCCTATCGAAATAAATATATTCAATTAAAGTTAATTTATATTTGAGATATTATTATCGAATATTTCAAATTAAAAATAATATCGATTAACTCAAATAAACTGTTGACAATGAGATTTTTTTGGGAAAAACAAATCAACCTAAACTTATATTTTATTCTATAGACGATCAGAGAATAATTATTTATTCGATATTGATATATAGATATAAAAACGAATAAGAATTTTCTCTTTTTACTACCATATTAAATAAACAAGCTGAAATCTATCTATCATCATCAAGATAAAAATAATAATAATAAACTTTTTGTTTTTTTTCACATTAAGAATAGATGATAAATCTGAAGTCTATCGATTTCGACTAATTCTAATAGATAGATTATATTCATTTCTATTATCTACAAACGATATTTAACTTAAATTAATTTCAAATCTTGATCAACTATTATATCAACAAACTCAATTTTATCAACTCGACCTACACTTTTATGCCGTGGAAGTAAACTTGATGATAATCATATAAAACATTTTTATACTCGAGTAAAACATTCATTTTCAAATAATAATTATATAAATGATTTTTATAGAAATAAAAACGAAAAAAACTTTTTCAAAATCTGATGGTTGACCAAAATGAATAGTTCGTGTTACATCTCTTCTTCCTTCTCTTTAACAAACAAATATTAAAAACAAATTAATTATATATTTTTTTTTATTAACTTATATTGTCCACCAGAATCGATTAAATATAAATCATTTCGAGTTATTTTTATATCAGATTCTTTGTTTGCTCTTAAATAAATAACAATATATAGAAAATCTAATACGTCTAATGAATAATTCCACCATTTTTTACACTTGCAGATATTGTTTGAAAACTATGATAAAGATAATTGATTTGTTTACTCAAATAAATTAAATATAATTATTGAATTAATTTAATTTAATTAACAAACGATCTAAATGATCTTAATTTTTCAGCAGCTGAATATTCAGTTAAATCGCGATTTATTTCAATCTTAAACAAATTTATTTATAAATTAAAAAAAAACATTTTGTTCAAGTCAATGAAGATATGAACAGAGAGCAACTCCATCTTTTACTCTAAATAAATAAAATCTTTATTTCATTTAAAAAGTTATTTTTATCAAAGAACTAGTTTTTTTATTTGAAAATAATTCCAAATCAATCATTATCCCGGTTTTTGCTAAAAAAAACTAGATTTCTAGAAAACCTTGAAACAGTGAAAAAAATTC